TGACTTTACAACAACAACGATAACAAAAGGCGAATCTATTCTAACGAAAATAATATTGCTGTAGTATTCTTGGTGTATTCTTTTATAATATTGGGAGCGGGATCAAGTGCCCTCATTGTTATTATTATGGTTGATGATGTATTATTATTATTAGTAGTAGTAGTAGTTGTATTAGTACTAGTAGTAGAACTGCTATTATTATTTTATTGTTGTTGTTATTATTATGCTATCAGTCGTGTTAGTGGACAATTAGAAGTTAAACAGCTACATCTGAATGGGTCTTTCTCAGTTAATCCCATGATAAAGATAATTAGATTATCGCCCTGCGTCTCTTCCCCGGGTCGGACAGTCCCGCAGGCCCGCGCTCAGTTTGACCGAGCCTGGATAAATGTGGAGACAGGGCGGCGTCCTGCCACTTCTCCTCTCAGGCTCCGCGTGTCCGAGCCGCAACACTTTGACATGACTGAGAAAACACCTCATTCATCAACCCGGCCTGAAGTCAAGAGACGCAGGGAGAGATAGAGGGGAGGAGGAGGGGTGCAGAAAAACAACTGGATCCCTTTTTTTTTTTTTTTTATCCCTGACAACTGCTCAGTGAGAGGATGGCATGTGGAACAGTAGCGCGCGGTTTGGTTACTCCCTCTGATTTAACAAGAAAAAAAAACATCTGCAAAACATCCTCGGTTTTCGTGGCAGCCAGATGTTGATCCACGTGTAACACCTGACAACAGGCAGAGGTCTGAACCCCGAGTCTGATGAGCAGAGCCTTTAAATGCGCAGTTGAAATGTATCACAAATGTATTACAAATCCATCGCCGGATAGAGCCAAGAGAGACTCACATGTTTCCCTGCACAGCAGAGTCTCACAGCAGAAGTCTGGTCGAGCAGCAGCAGTAATAGAGAACAAGGCCAGGCTGTGCAGCTGGAGCAGAATTACGCATAAAAGCATTTTACGCATATTTACGCATAACTTGTTTTATTATTCTCTGCTTAGATTTTCACATCTTACATCAGTGGCGACAGAAAAACATAAAGTGAAATTATGTGTGGACTACTCTCAGTTGAAGCAGTGGAGTTTGGGACCACATGTAGCTGTGATTACATGTTGTAATAAACGCATTGACAGGAGAACTTATACTATAT